GAACAGTTGCTTAGCCTTCCTTTCTGGAGGCATTCGCAACACATGCCCAAGCCATCGCCGCTGTGACTTCCCGAGAAGCAAAGGCTAGAGAGATAGATATTATCGCCAGAAAAATGGTATAATCTGCGGGCTTCACTTGGCGTAAAAATTTTGGACGATCCAGTGTACAAGACACTAGCAGTTTGCCGATCTAAACTACGTTCCCCAAATAACATTTCATGTCCGCTCTCTGCCGTACAGCAGCTTGCAGACGGTTCTACCTTGTATCCTAAGATGTGTTGAATCCCGAATGTGAGTACGCATCACTTCTTTGCAACTCAATCCTCATGTAATTTTAACTGTCATTTTGAATGTCCTCGCTATTTCTCTGCATATTCTCTTTGATCATTACTCTCTTTTTCTTCATGGATTGTATCCAGGGCAAATTAATATTGACTTATTGACTCGCAAAGTAAATTACATTGAGTTAATTGTCGTTTAAAGCGGTGCAGCTTGATTAAATCGGTTTAAGGGGAATAACCGATATTGGCGTTCTGATCATTCTTTCAGACCTTCATGATGTGCTTTAAAAGTTTACTTTCTCTGTCTGTGCTGCTGTGCGTCTGGATTCATACTTGGATGTTCTGTTTTTATCCTTCTCGTCGTCTTAAGCAGTCAAGTTTCTTCGCATCACAACTATATATGACAGCTCAAAATTGTCTAAAAATTGTTTTTCAGCTCCAGTATGATTTCAAACGATCGACAACACCACTGCCACAAAATCAAGCTCAAATAAAACCATGAATATGTAGATCAAAATATCGACCGTGTTTTTACAGTGCTTATTGTGTTGCTGTGACAATTAATATAAAAGAGTTTCCTCTCTTCAACCCGTAGCATAAGTTAAATTCTTATTGTGGCATGGGTTAAAATGCTTCTAAATAGTTATCGAAAGTGCAGTAACCTTTCGCTAAAATCTATTCTGTTTATCTGAAAATTATCAGAAACAGTTTAGTGACAATAGATGCAGAAGTAATAACGTGCTGCAGGGCCTTATGGAGGGCTGCTGACGTTGCGGAATTGAAATACACCTCCTACAAGTCACATATTTATTTGCTCCCCTTAAGTCATACTAGGGGTAGTTGCAGCTTGTTTTCTAAAATCCGACTATAATGGTGAGTGTAATTTCAATGAGGAGAAAGGGAATGACGT